AAAAAAAAAAAAAAAAACAAAAGAATGTTAAGGTGGATTAGGTTTCCTTTGCTTATTGATCTGTGGCAAGAGGGAGACTTCACACATCTTGGGGTTGTCTGATGGGCTGGGCATAGGCAGCCCCCACCTCATGGGTAAGGTGTCCTAGAAAGATGGCCAGTTGGAGTCCCTTCCTCCTCAGGACTTGCATAAGGCAGAGGTCCTCTCTGGCAGCTGAGTTCTTCTTTCTGAGTTGCATGATCCTTGCATGTGCATTTTTCCCTTCATGTTTAAAAGTCTTTGGCCAGGACTCACCCTACAGAGCTTTGTTAACTGACCTGTGGAGGATAAGGAGACAAGGGTCGGAGAGGGGTAATGGTGGGACAGGGCTTTCTAACTGGGCGACCACCGTCCCCATTGTGGGAGGAATGGCACAGGTGAATGGGACTAAAGCGTGTCAGACAGCTCTGTGAAAGTCATGCCTTGTTGGGCAGTGATTAAAAGAAACACACAAGGTAGATAGTGGTGTTTTAGTATGTCCTCCGGGAATCGAGACCTAGAACAGTGATGCCAAGATTAATGACTCTGGGGAGAACCAGCAGGCCGTGCTGACAGAACAAATCCCTCTTCATAAATCACATGGGACCAGCCTTCGTGCATGATCTCTGGCCAGGGCCACCCCCGAGCAGTCAAGCATGTCAGCCACCTGGGAAGGTGCGACAGCAGCTGGACCCTTCGGGCTCTTCCCTTTGCATCTCCCTCAGTTCTTGTCTGCCCAACCCTCCCTGTTCTCTTTCCTTCCTCTCCTATCAGAACAAAACTTACACGTCCAATTTCCTTTCATAAATGGCAGCTGCTTTAGGATTTCTTTTTCCTCCGTTAGGAGTGGTCCCAAGCTCTAGCCAAGGGTGGCCATAGGAGGGCAGTAGAAGGGCCCTGTATATAGTGACAGTTTATCTTCTGAGAGATGGAAAGGAGCAGGACAAAGGTCAGACAGGGCCACTCACCTGAGGACTCATTCCCGACCACTCTACATTTTTTTCTCCTGATGGGGCACTTCCACTTCTAAAAATAGTACGCCCCACAAATACTTGTATGCATTACTTATTTAACTAAATACGGACTTAACCATGTCCATAGTTGAACCTTTTATAATAAGTTGCCTAGGCTGGGCTACAACTTGCAATCCTCCTGCCTGAGCCTCCCAGATTACAGACACATGTCTCAAGCCCGGCCTTTTCTATTTCTACTGGGAAATGGAAACCCTATCTGAGGGAAAGAAGGCAGCAGTGTACATGTTAGCCCCTCTCTATCAGGAAGTTATGTCCCTTCAGCTCTGTGCGAGTTGGGGAGCCAGGCTGATGGGAGCAGGTCCCCTAGACACACAGTTTGTAGTCGTTTTGTTCCCCTTGAGTATAATTGTCTGTGCCTCAAGAGGGTTTTAGTCCTGTTAAAAGAGATAGGTTTTATCACCAGATCCCGAGAGATGGCTGGGATAAAGGCAGAAGTCATGGCCTCGGGGAGAATGTAGCCTTCTGGGAGGTTGGGTCGCACTGGCTGTCAGAGCTGCCCACACCAGCACCATCCCACCCGCTAGTGCCCTTACCCTCTGCCTCCACCCTGCGCTGCCTGCTGTGGCACAGCCTTTCCTTCCGGTCCGCCATGTCTCTACGGCAGCCCTGAGTGCTCACACTTCTGCAGCTTCCAGCCAGGATCCCTTGTGCAGCACCTTCCTCATTACCCAGCCTCTTCAGACCGTTCATTCTCTCTTCTTTCTGCTGCTGTCTGCTCCTTGGCTCCACAACAGCCCTAGTGACATCTCAGGACCTCTGTCAGTGTCACACAGACTGTGTTAGCAGCTAGTTCCCTTCCTCCAGTGACAGTGACACCCTGTCCCAACCCCCAATAGACAACATGCACAGTTACGCAGCCCTAGGCTGCTCTGCCACCTCCTTCCGGCCCCGGCATTCTCTGGAAGTCAGGAGTACGGAAGCACAGCCTTCACTGCCTCTAGAAGGTGCCTCAGCTCAGCCCGTAGAACCGAGCCCCCACTCCTGGGCTTCAGGCCTGCTGCTCCGCTTCCTGTGTGGCTGTGTGGAGGCTGGACTTCATCGGTGCACGCCCTATTTCCACGTTTGGAGCCAGGCTCCTGCCTGGCTGGAGGGTGGCCCACCCACCCTCTGCACAAACATTGAGGGACACCAAGCTCGGGTAGGTAGCACTAACCGTGGCATTGCTGTGACATCCTTAGACTCCAGGGGCAGGCTTTGCTCGCAAACCGAACACCATCCTCTGCAGCTCGGGTTGGCTGTGCACCCTGCTCTCACACAGACCTTTCGGAGTACAGTTGCCATCCCGACCCTGCCTGAGTCTTCCTCCGTTCACTGAGGAGCTCCTCACCCTTGGCTCGATCTGCAACATCTTTTATCCCCCCTGTGGAGTTGGCTGCAGAGAAAGGTGGAAGAAGAGTGCGGGTCAGCAGACCGTCCAGGTCGAGGTCCCCAGTGCCTATCGAGCAGCCCCTCGGGCAGCCCAGTGTTTCTTGGCCCTTCGTCCTTGCTCTCCAAGATAAGGATAGTGGGCATCAAAGTGAGGGGGTGCCAACTGCCCTCCACCCAATGAGTTTTGCCACTTCAGCAGCCTGGGAAAGACACAGAGTTTTAAATTTGCATAGAGGGCCATGGTGCAGAGCCGTGTGCAGGGTGGTGGGCAGTGGGCAGGCTCTGCTGGCAGATCCGGTGCAGCCTCCCATGTGCTAGGCCTTGGGCCCAAGCTGGGACCAGCTGCCCTCTGAGTCGTGGTGGTGTTGACCAGCACCCCCTCTAGTGGTTGGCTGGTGGCTGATGGACTTCCTGTGATTGTCGGGTTTCGGTGCACCCAGTTCCCACTGCTGCCGCCCAGTAATCCCCCCATCCTCTCGCCTCCTCACAGCAGTTTTGTTTGGCTCCAGATGATCCTGTTAACATGTAAATCCTGTTGTGCTGACACCTAGGCACCAGACCCTCTACAGCTCTCCCGCAGAGTGCAAGCCAAGCCCTGGGGTGGCCCTGCAGACCCACACCCCCCAGCCAGCTCAGCACCTCCTACTCTGTCCTGGCCCAGGCCCGAGACCCTTCACACCCACTCACCCATGGCTGGCCCCCTTGCCTCCTGGTCTTGCTCAGCCGTCTATCGGCTCACCCTGAGCTGTGTCCACAGGTACGGGCGCCAGCTTAGCTGAGACTCCTCATCACTGAGCATGGTCAGAGCCTAGGGTTGCTGATTCCGAAATTCTGGTTTTAGAGAAATTTCAGGTGGTTGTGAGGTCAGTAGAATGAGTCCTGATCAGTGGTTTAAAATGAAGTAGAATAGAAACATACCCGAGTAAGGTTTCAAAGAACAAAGCTACAGCCTAGTTAAAGATCTTAATGGGCTTTATTTTGAATTCTGGAATCAGACACCACTTCGTCCTGTAGAATAGAGTAAGTGTTACACTGAGCTAAGCAGAGGAGGTTGGTTTTAAAGACAAAAAGGGGCAGAAGAAATCTAAGTAAAGAAAGTGGCTTGGTCATTTTAAAGTTACTTTCCTTGTCAGGCTGGGATAGAGAGACAGTAATAGAAAAATGACTGACTGGTCAGCATCAGGTTACTTCAGATCACCTTCTTTGTGTAAGGAGAAGGCAGAGGAAGCTCTATCATCATGCCAGCTGAATCAGGCCTTTTGGGGAAATTGTGCTGTTATCTCTTTAGTCCTGATTTCTCAAGTCACAAGAACAGCCTGTGGTTGATGTGGAGCTTTAGCATGAGTGACTCCATTTTGATTTTTAGCCACGTCTCTTAGGGTCTGAGACAGAAGCTTAGTAAAAACAGTGGCCTGCCATAATTTATATTTAACAAAAGATATAAATTGTTCTGTGAAGGTTTTGTTTCAGGGGGATTGTGTGTATATACAGAGTCACAGTTTGCCAGTTCTGATTTACAGGTCACTAAACTTTTTTTTTATTTGAAGACAGCGTCTCACTATGTAGTTCAGGCTGGCCTTGAACTTGTTTATGTAGCCCAGGCTGGCCTCGAACACATGGCAATCCTTCTGCCTCAGCCTCCGAGGGCTGGGATTAGAAGCATGTACCACCACTCCAGCATAGTCACCACGCTTTCTGAAAAGGGACCCAAGAGTAGTTGAATGTCCAAAAATCTGTCCTAATAAACTCAGGGCATTGTGCCTGGCCTGTCGGGTAGATAGCCATGCTGTGTCCTACACCCAGAACCCCATCACGGGAGTTCTTCGGGATGTCCAGCCACAGGGTGACGTTCCGCATCACTGCCTGCTTAAGTCAGCGTCTGACGCCCAGAGGTATCCTTTAGCTAAATAGTGCTTCCTCACACAGGGCAGACTCTGTTGGAAAACAAAGGGACAGCGGTCTTTACAGATTCAAGCTATCTATTTTTAAACCTTGCTCAGTTGGGGCTGAGGGGAAAAATAGTACCAAGTCTCAAAAATAACATTGAGCAGACGTCTGTTGATCCTCTTTGCCAGAGAGGTTCCGGTTGCAGGCAGGCAGTTGTTCGGAGCCAGCCGCGCTTCCAGTGATGGCAGTGGCTCTGTCTGCCGATGGGCCGGGCACCCAGGCCTTCTTAGGCCCACTCACCTTTTAGAGAATTCCTATGTGAGCCTGCCAGCCCGTCTGTCTAGTTTCCGTCTCAGGCAAGGACACTGAAAGCATAGTCGTCTAAAATCTTATTCTTTGGCCATCTCTGGGAGCATAACCAACTCTATCACCCTCACCTCAGCCTTTCTTACCTCAGCCTCTGAACCTTAACAAAGACCTAATGCTGTTCATGTTTCAATTAAAGGCAAAAACATGAAGGTAGGGATGTTAAGATTTTTGCACTTAGCAAAACTGCTTAAGATGAAGAAGGATAAAAAGTTTATATTGTCAGTAAAAAAACAACAGCTGTTTAGCTGGACATAGTAGCACATGCCTGGGATCCCAGCACTCTGGAAGGTAGAGGCAACAAAATCGCAAGTTCAAGCCCACTGCAAGGCCCTGTCTCAAAATCAGAAAAAGAGCAGGGGGTATCGACCAGAAGCCCCGGCAGCTAGAGTGTGTTGTGACCCAAGCAGTGAGCAACCACATAACGGCAGTGGCTCCCTGTGCCTGAGAGTGCCCTGCGGTGGTGCCTGAGGGTCCACCCTCGTGGTACGAGTTACTTAAGTTACTTGATTCCAGGAGCTTCCAGCCCTTCACATCTGTGAGTCAAGATTTTGGGAGGAAGGAAAAGAAGAGAAATACTGTTTCTAAAGAAAATGCAGGGGTCTAGAACAGCATCATTTTGTAGGATATCTGCTACCAGTGTCCGGGACAGGTACCTTGTGACCGTTTAACATTTGTTTCAGTCATGCATACTTCTGCTTGTGGTGGGCCTTTTTTTGCTGGGTTTTTTTTTTTTTTTGGTACCGGGTATCATACTCAGGACCTTGTGCTTGCCAGGCAGGCACTTGTGCCACTGAGCTATATCCCCAGCCCAGTCATGCAAATGTCTGATAATGTGTAAGATGGAGTAATTAATATTTAACCTCTTGTTCTTCTAGGGCTATTGGTTTCCTGGAAGCTATTGTTTGCATAAAATTTGGACAAGATCTCTTCTCTAAGACCCAGATACTCTATGTTGTGCTGTGGCTTCTTTGCGTGGTAAGTCATTACTTATTTACCCAAAAATGTTAGTTAAACTCCTGTGATGTCTTCTAAAAGAACAGAAAGCAAAAAAAGTTCACACTTGTGCACTAAGTTTCCTTAGAGGTGCATAGAAAGACATTCTTACCACCAGCCGAGATCGGTGTCAGTCTGCAGTTCAACAACAGTGCGCAGATGGCCATGCGGCGTCGGAACTGGGTCCCCTTGCCAGGTGGCAGAGGCAGGTGCACCTTGTGCACTTACTGCTCGCGCGGGAATTTGTCTATGTGTGATGCGCATTTAAGGTCAGCCATAAAGGGGCAAGCACAAGTACAGTTGTGCAGTGTCCTTTCCATCATCTCATCATCATACCTTTTTTTTTTTTTTACAGTGCCAGAGACTGAACCCAGAGCCTCACACTGAGCTACATCCTCAGCCTTCCTTTTATTTTAAGACCTGATCTCCCTAAGTTGCCCAGTCTGGGCTTGAACTTGCAGTCCTCCTGCCTCAGCCTCCCGCAGTGCTAGGATTATAGGCGAGCAACACCGTGCCCAGCACCTTATACATTTTAACACACGTCACCGTACATGGGTTTATATGCACAATGATGTTGATACGCACTGTAAGGTGTTTTTGAAGGTAGATTATGGATTTCAGTCCTGTGCTGACCTTGGCCTGGGTGAGCTGAGCTTCTACAGCGGGGACTGGGCCTAGGCCTCCAGCCTCATCGCCCCCACCCTTTTCCTTCACCTTATGACAACGCCAGGTTTTCCCAGCGTGGTCATTATGTGACTGCTCTTCTTAATTGATTTGTAGTTACTGTTAGAGACAAAATACTTACTTCACATTTAAGCTTAACATTTTTTATTTTGATTGGTCTATAAAATTAATTAGGGCTTTTTTAATGATCAAGGAATATTTCAAATATATTGGCAGGTAGGGAGGTTTACTGTGACCCCACTGTACCGGTCATCCAGTTTCAGTAGTGATCAGCCTACAGCCAATCTTACTTCCCTTATCCCTTACCCACTATCTCCACCCCTTCAAAAAATATTTTTGTTTTTTTGGTTTTTTTGGGTTTTTTGGGTTTTTTTTGGTTTTTCTCTGGTACCGGGAACCAAACTCACGACCTTGCGCTTGCCAGGCAGGCGCTTTGCTGCTGAGCTAAATCCCCAGCCCCCAAAAAATATTTTGAAGCAGATGTATTTTTTTTTTTTTTTGTCTTTTTGAAACAGGGTCTCTCTATGCAGTTCAAGATGGCCTTGAGCTCACTTTGTAGGCCACTAAGATCTCACTAAAATCTTGAACTCACTAAGATCCTCCTGCCTCAGCCTCCCGAGTGCTGGGATTATAGGTGTGCACCACTACTCCCGGCCTGAAGCAGATCTACCTTTAAAATTTTAGAATGTATTTGAAAGAAGACAAGAATGCTTTTTCGTTTCCTTTTTTTGCTTAATGCACCCAGTCTGTTATATCTGAAAACAGATTAACACTAATTAATATTATCAATATCTAATCAATTTTGAAATTACTGATTTTCCCTTAGAGTTCCTGTTTTATGTGTTTATTAGAGTCACCAGGCCTCTCATCCTGTGTAGTTGACACTCTTTGTGTCTCCTTTGTTTTAAAGGTTTTTCCCTCTGTCTCTAGCTCTGTCTCCCCATGCAGCCTGTGTGTGAAGAAACCAGCTCTTTTCCTGTAGATTTTCCCACAGTCTGGGTTTTAGCCATTTCATTGTGTCCTGGAATCAAGCGTATTTGTCTGTCCCGTGTTTCCTACAAGTAGTCTGTGGATCTAGATGCATAATCAGATTCAGGTCCCTCTTTGTGGTCAGACTAGAATTTGTATTTCTGCGGTTATCTTCTGTGCTGTTCCTGGTGTCTGTTTTTAGGGCTGTTAGAAATCCTGCCTGTTCCAGGGCCGCTCGAGCTGGTTTCTGTTGTTTGTAATGAAAACACGGATTTAGAGCTCACATGCGTGTCCCATCAAGATGGATGCGAGGAGCCCCTTGGAATGTGGCCATCATGCATGGAGATTTTCCTGCTCTCCTCAGTTTTCTCTCTGGCATGGCAGCTCGGTCTGGACTGGACTGTGGCCTGGCTGCATGGCAGAGGTGGCTGCTGTCCTCGCCTGACACCAGAGAGCCGTGAGGCCCACAGAGGGCCAGGCTGGTGGACAAAGGACCTTCCTCACCCCAGTGCATCGCGGGCTTCCTGGCCGCATGTGGCGCATAATTCTCCTACGCCCAGCCCCAGGGCCAGGGAATTTTTTGTGTTTATGTCTGTTTCCTCCACATGACACTTCTTGTTCTGAGGAGAAGGTTCCAGTCATCCGCTTCCCCTTCCTCCACTGTGTGTGCAGGGGACACTTAGCATATGTGTGGCAAGTAAGTAGTGGGCTGAGTTAGGGAGGCTGGACTGGGCGCTGTCTGGTAGGCTGAGGGGCCCCTTGCAGGAACCTATGAGGTGGTGACAGGGCCCTGCAGGTTGGGAGCATGATGGCCTGTGTGGGGAGCAAGAGTGAAGGGGCGACTTGGAGAACTCCAAGGGCTGTTGCATGGCTGTCGTTGGAGCCCAAAGGTTTGCAAGGAAGAAACGCGTGATCTGATTCTGTGTCCCAGAGAAACATATGTAGGGTGGGGGTCTGGGAGGAAGATGGATGGGGACAGAGTGGAGTCCCAGGGTGTCGTAGGGTGCTAGGCACGAGTGGCTGAGGTGGGACCATTGAAGTGTAGAGGAAGGACCAGGTTTGAGTTACTTAAAATACCTGAGGTCATCATTTTATAAAGAGGTTTTTCTTGCTCACAGTGGGTGGTTGCAGTCCTTGGCCTTGGGCCTGGGGTGAATCAGCACATCATGGCTGGAGCCTGCAATAGAGCAAAGTCTGCTCATCAGAAAAGAAGAAGGGACTGTTACCCAGGAGGACCTCCCACTAGGTCCCTCCTTTTTTTTTTTTCTTTTCTTAATAGTACCAGAAATTATGGCCAGGGCTTGTGCACTGAGCTACATCCTGAGCACATTTTTATTTTTAAAACAGGTCTCCTTAAGTTGCCCAGGCTTCATTCAAACTTGAGATCTTCCTGCCTCAGCCTCCCAAAGGGCTAGGATTACGAGCATGTACTGTGCCCTATGCTAGGCCTTGCTCTTAAAGGTTGTGCCACCTCCCAGCAGGTGCCAAGTTGGGATCTCCTCAGCTTGTGGCACACAGGCTTTAGGAGGGTATTCAAGATCCAAACTATAGCAGTCCCTCCTGCACGTTTAGCAGTGAAGAATGGTTACAAGATCCTGGCCTCCCACCAGCTCAGTCCGAGATGAGTGTGGAAGCAGGGGTCCCCTGGAAGGTTAACACCGTCATCTGCTCAAGCATCACAAATGTCGGTGCTCACTGCCGGAGCGAGGAAGCCAAGCTGGGTTTTGCAGGTTGGGGGCCCCCACACCTGGGGTCTCGGACTACCCAGCTGCCATCCCTCAGTTTCCTGTGCTCCTCCCACCAGCTCTCTTAAACAGGATCAGCGCGGTGGCTGTCCTAAGCCTGCGCCTTAGCATTTTGAGTGGGTCCTTGCCTAGATTTCACTGGTGTGATTGCAGACCCGTAAATTACAAGCTTTTGTCTCCGGGGACTGCGATACATGGGGCCTCTTGCACCCAGGTGGAGTGGTAGATGTGACGGCCACAGCAGGCCCTTTGTGTGGCAGGCACGGTGATAAGCACCTGCCCCTAACTATGCTGCGGCTTGCGGCTGGAGGGAGCCACTGGCCTGCTTCTTCCCGCTCCTGGAGCTGGGAAGGGATGAGCCCTGCACGACTGACCTCTGGTGGTCAGAAGTTGTGATGACAGGCTAGTGGGGTGATCTGAGTCCCACTCTGCTGCCCACTGGCCGCGCCTGGTTTGGTCAGGGAACATGTCTGTCTGTCCACACACACACACACAAACACGAAGCCCAGGACAACCCAGTGTCCTCTTTAAAGGATATGATGTACACAGGCTTACAGACTGCGTATCTTATCTCTATTTTGCCACTACTACTACTAATAATGCTGGTGTGTGTAAGAAATCTGGGCAAGAATTCAAATATGCTAAAGGTTAGAAGTCATTGTCACTTTATAATTTTTATATATAATTTTAATATATGTAGTTTTTAATGTTGTTATATATATATTTGGATGGGTGAATATGAGCCCCCTTTTTTTTTTAAACAAAAAAAGTCCTAATCTGTAGTGTGTGTTAGTTTGGCTGTAGATTTAATATAAAGTGAACTGGTGGTTATATTTCTCCTGTGTCAGGAAGACCAGCTGGAGCACTGGGACGCCTTTCTCTTTTGGAACTTAAAGGATACTGTATTAGCCAAGCAGGGGAGCAGCACACACCTGTAATCCCAGAACTCTGGAAGGCTGAGGCAGGCGGGCTGAGCCCAGCTGAGCAACTTAGGGATCTAGTGAGACCCTTTCTTAAGTAAAGTGCTGAGGATGCAGCTCAGTGTGAAGGCTGAGGGTTCACTCGCCAGTACTGGGTAGGGGGGACATTGGAGAGACTGTGCACCTAGCAGACACTTAGCAGATGTTGCTGACTTAGAAGAGCTCACTTACAGAGGTGGCCCCAGGAGACACAGTAGGAGAGACGGCACTTGGAGTGCCAGGGTGGCCTGATGGGAAGGTTCCCAAGGCCCGGGATGCTGCAGGACAGGGTGTCGCTTGTCCTGTCTCAGTTCAGTTGATTTCTGTGCGACTGAGAAGGAAGGACCTGCTGACGTGCTGTCCTCTTTCTCCTCTCTACCTCTTTCCTTTGCCTCGCAGTCTAGGCAGCCAGACTCTCCCAGACTTTGAGTGTCCTGAGACGTTTGGAGTTCTGGATTCTCACACGGTTGTCCTGGGCATCCCGGGGGTAGGATTGCTCACAGGACTGCCTGGGATGCCCTGACCCACTGAGGTTCCAGGCGCCCCATGAAGTGACACAGTGTTTGCATGTAACCTACATGTTCTGGGTCCTGTAGATCATCTCGAGATTGCTTATAATACCTGATAGGACGGAAGTGCTAGGCAAATCACTGCTAGACTGAATTTTTTAGGGAATGACAGTGAGGGTGTCAGTCCCCCATGGGAGGACAATCTTGCATCCTGACAGTAGGGTCACAAGCAGTCACTGTGGTGTGCCCATAACCTCTCTAGTCACGCGCTTTGGGTTTGCATCGCTAGGATACATGGCGGAGAGGCGCTGAGCCATCATCACCTGTGAATTCCATGGGAACCCGGAAGCTCTGAGAACTGAGGTGTTTCTGTGCATCGTCATTTATCAAGTGGCTTTATGCGTGTTTCTGTCTTGCAGGCCTTCACCACGTTTCTGTGCTTGTACGGCATGGTTTGGTACGCGGAGCACTATGGTCACCGGGAAAAGGTATGGGACAGGCAGAAATAGCACCACGTGAAATACCTGCCTGCTGCAGGCAGGGCTCTTCTCCTGTGCGATTCATTCTCAGTCACTTGGCTGCCACGCTTGTGAGCGGCCTGGTCAGCAGATCGGTATTGTTATCCCCTTTAATAAGGGATTTAAATCTTAATTATGTTTTTTTAAAAAAAAAAAGTGGAGGGCCGCGGAGCCATCCTTCTACCCTGCCCTCCTCTTAGAAGATGCCAGGCTCAGGGGAGAGTACAGATGTGACCAGGTTTGAACGCTGTAGCGGTCTGCCCACTGCCATGTTTTTGAGTAAAAACAGAGCTTTCATCTTGTATCCGTACCTTTAGTTTCAGGAACTAAAGGTGCCTTCTAGAGGTTGGTTCCATATGGCCTAGGAGCCTGATTTTCTAGCTGGGAACATAGGCACGAGGAGGGTTTGTCATTCACCAAGGGTGATCTCAGCCTGGGGTCACTTTTTCGCCCTGCCACTCTTGCCAGGCGGGTCCCCCACGTCCCCACTGAGCCTGTCTCTCTCCCTAGACCTACTCAGAGTGTGAAGATGGCACCTACAGTCCAGACATCTCCTGGCATCACGGGAAAGGTACAAAAGGTATTGTCTCGTTCATTGTGCAGAACTGTGCTGTACCTAGGCCCCTGTACTCCCTGAGGAGATTCGGGATCAGTGTTTATCCTCTTGAGTATTGAGGGTGAAGGCCTTGAAGGGTGTCCGCCCCACTTGCCAAATGTCTCGTCACTTCCTGAGAGTTGCACACAGAATCCACTTAGTCAAAGAGGTTTGATCTTTCCCAAGCAGGGGACATCAAGAGGCCTGCTCCTCTCACGTACCCTGACTGAATTCACTCTCTTGGCTTTCACTGTGAGTGGAAAGGGTTAGAAAGAGCTGTGTACCAGGAGGAAAAGCCTTTCAGAAGAGGTGGATCAGTTTGATTGCATTTATTCGGGAAGCAGAGCTCTGGAAGAAGAATTTCAGTAGTGTAGTTAGTTGTGGGCCCCCGGATTGGCCTCTCTCCAGGGAACATTTTGGAAAGATCTGGGGCCACTTGGCCATTTGAATGAATTAAACTTGTGGAATAACGACACTGAGGAGGCTGCACTGGCCAGTACTTCCTCAGCAGTTCCTATGTGCTGATGGAGGCATGGCTGAGGGTAGAAACTGTGGATGTGGAGCACCGGCCCCCCAGAGTTGCCACGGGACCTGTGGAGAAAGCAGCTGTCCTGAGTTGCTGGCCACCTGGTGGGGGTTGGTGGGGCAGTTTCTCTGGGACCAAGGAGTCATTCCAGTTCTCCCACTGTGGAGCACTGGCATAGGCGAGCAGAGGGATCCCCAGCGGCCATGTTGAGAGCCGTCCATCTCCTCACAGATGGATCCCGGTGCTTCCGGGTTTTCTGTTGAAAAGAGTGAAGCAGTGGTAGAGATATATTTATTATGTGGGGTTGTAAAAAAAAGGAACAAAAAACAAATCTTCAGGGTGCTGAAAGAATGTAAGACGAATACATAGTGCTTACAGTGGACACACAAATCTGGGGACAGTGATGGCTGTCTTAGGTGGTGATTTTCCCCAGGCTGGACCTAAACCTGGATCCTTGGCCTTAGCCAATAGGCTGGGAATCAGCCACAGGTGCCATTGAAGGGCAGAGGAAATTCAGTGTGACCCTGGCCAAGACTGGCCGTCATGGGCAACAGGGGCCTGACTTATAAAGTTGTCAGTCTCTCAGTTAATGGCTGAATTTTAGAGTTACAAATCCTTTACAACTGAAGGTTTAGAAACCATGGTGTGTAGCAGCTTAGGGTATGGAAAGTCGGCTGATCAGTCCTTCGACAGGTTGGAAGGGTCGTCTGCGCTTTGATTGCATTGATACTGTCACTTAGCTGACCTCGCGTACCTTACCCAGTGCAGGTGAAGAGCTCTTCACAACCCCCTCAGGTTTTGTGGGGCTGTGGCTTTGCACACCCAAGCACCAGGTTTGCGCCTTGGCCTTAATTTATTAATGAGGCCACTAGAGGGAGAGCAAGTCTCAGGGAAGAGCCTGCTCCTGGCAAGGGAGGGGAAAGCTACAGAGGACAGGAGTGAGTCCTGGAGACCCCAGCCCCAGGTGACAGTGTGTGTGCTCCATTCCTCTGGTCAGGTTCAGAAGACAGCCCACCCAAGCATTCGGGCAACAACGAAAGCCATTCTTCCAGGAGAAGAAACCGACATTCCAAGTCGAAAGTCACCAACGGAGTTGGAAAGAAATGAAAGACCGTGGTTGATCAAAGATGTTCCAGAGAGTGCCTAGAACTGAGAGGGAGGCGGAACTCGCTTGGACCTCCCTGTTAGGGGAAACAAAATGTGCGCAGCAAGTGGGAAGAGAAGGGGACTTCGGGGGTCATTATTTGAGAGTGTAAGTCTTGTTTCCCATAGACCTGGCCACATCAGGCAGACCGTGGGCTGGGGTCCTTTGCCCATTTGGGGTCTCGCCTCACTTCAGCACTTGGCATGCAGTCCCCGGTAGCGGTACAGTGTTGGGAGGAAAACAGCTCTTGGCCCGCAGTCGCTAAGAGCAGCTCTGTGCTGGGTGACTTGTGGATGCCGTGTAAACATCTTCGTTCAGACATGGCCTTACCCAGGTAGTTAGTGGGCTGGTCACCAGATTTTATTTTTATGAATCGGCCTTTTCATTTGATTGATTTAAGTTCAGGCCTCTTTTTGTCCTTCTTTGTTGTTGTTATTGCTGTTGTCGTTGTGTTCCAATTCAGATGCTTAAAAACTTTCAGGATTCGCTGCTGAGTTTGAAATTGGGAGAGGGTTCCCTTCCCTTCTAGAGGAAAAATGGGGGAGCTTTTGTGTTGCTCTTCAGCACCCTTGACCCGCCCTTTTGGACCATCAGCCACGTAGCGGGCACGCAGCAGCCTGAGGAAGGCTTCGCTGCCCACGCAGGAGGCTGGGTTTTGATGGGAACCGTTTAGTTCCATTCCAAATGTCACTGGTCCAGACGTACCCTGGCCTGCTAGCGGGGTGAACGCATAGCCTTCCCCGCCAGGTGCCTTTTATGCGTGCTGTCTCTTTCCACCGTGTGTCACCCACGTTGTGCTTCAGTCCCACGTGAGGTGCTGGTGAGTATTACCTGTCAGCCGTGCCATGCTCCAGAACATCCTCCTGATAGTTCACACCTCCGATGGATCCCTGTTTGAAATAAAACAATTCACATTAAAGCCCTTCAACAGTCTGTCCGTAAAATGCTCGTTTCTTTCCAGCATACTAGTATTTCCATTGTTTGAAGAAGCAGTGCCTGTATTTTTCAAGGGAGTTTAGCATCGTGTGTGTGTGTGTGTGTGTGTGTGTGTGTGTGTGTGTGTGGTACATGGTGAGAAAACAATGCATTTTGAAGGGTTTGCAGACATCTCTGTCCTGCTTCTTGGCCCACGTGACCCACAGGAGGTGACGCCTAGCTGTCATTGCTCGCTGGTGCCATCGCGTCTTTCATCTCTAACAAGTGGCTGCTATTCATTGATTAGCTTTCAGGTATAAACTTGCCAAGAACGGGTTTTTCCCTCATTTCACAAAGCACACAGCTTTCGGTGTCTTTTCCCTATTTAAGGAAATTGTTCAACTGTAGAAATGTCTTACTTTTCTTTCTCTGCATTTAACTGTAGAATACTAATGTCTTATTTTTCTTTCTCCGCAAAACCCTTTCAAGGCAAAGGGCATGAGTCATGCCAAGCCAGGGTCACATCCTGTGCTCTGGTGACCGCTTGGTTTGGAGCCACCCACACAGACTTGCCCCAGAGGGGAACATCCGCAGCTGCTGGCCCGCAGTGAGGAAGGGAGCCTGGCGTGGGTCACCACGCTGGCTTTCCCGGGCTGTCTTCCTGGGAGCTGCAGTCCTCCGGGAAGAGTTGTGTGGTGTGAGTAGGGGTGTGGGGCTGGCAGCAGAACCCAGGGCCTTTGCCCTGAGCTGTGGCCCGAGGCCTTTATAAATTCTGAGTTAGGGGGCTGGGGATTTAGCTCAGGGGCAAAGCGCCTTCCTGGCAAGCGCAAGGTCGTGAGTTCGGTTCCTGGTACCGGAGAAAAACTAAAAAAAAAATAAATAAATAAATTCTGAGTTAGGGTCTTGCTAAGTTGCCCAAACTGGGCTTGATTTTGTGATTTTCCTGCCTGAGTGCTGGGATTACAAGTGTGCCCCACCATGCCAGGCTGCCTGCACTTTTATAACCCATCCAAAATACCTTTTTTTGAAGACCAGTACACTTTCCAAACATGTCTTTACTCAGCAAGTAGTTGAGTTTTTGTTTTCTCTGCACTTTGTTTTTCTGAACCCTAAGGGCTCACGTGCGTCTCCTGTGTGCCTGTGACATGTCACCGAGGGTCTCCAAGTTCATCGTGCATACGCGTCAGGTGTGGTGCTGTAGCTCTCCCGTGCCTGGTCCCATTAAGGATGCATGCACGCTTTCTCCCCACTACCATAGAGCGGGTGTCTGGAGCGTGGTGCGGAGCCAGGCATGAGCGTGGCGTGGCGTGTGCCAGGAGTGAAATGCCCACGAGACAGTTGGCCGTCAGTGGCTGGGATGGAAACAGGCAGGAAAGACCTCAGCTACTTTCCGTGCACTTCCTCTGAGTTCAGACCTTTTCCCCTTTTGGGAAGAGCCCCTCTGCCAGAGCCATTACTTTCCTGACTGGCAGCGGCTGGCTGCCATTCCTCCTCCAGGCCAGGCCACTGCGCTCGGCCTGCTTCCAACTGTCTCCGGAAATGGACCTTTCACTGATGGAAACAGAACACACGTGTCGGAGTCATCCTTTGGGACCTGAAATGACTTGATTATAAATCTCAAGTTCCCCATCTGCACATTGCTGCCTTTAAGGACAGCGTAATGCATAAAGAATGTCTTAGGTGTTTTTCTCTTGTCAGTATTAGACTCTTCCCCTTTCCTTTTAGTCATTCTTGGCCTTTCTGAGGCCTCCCCCTTGTGTCTCTTTTTACCATTTGTGGAAGACTCGGTCAAACAGCCATGTGGGGACGTTTCATTGACCCAGTAAACATTTTGATATTCTACAAATGCCTAATTTTCACTAGGACTACTTTTTTTATTTTTAACTGAGGATTGAACCCGGGAGCTCTCCCACTGAGCTACATTCCCAGACCTTTTTTCCTTTTGTTTTTTGAGATAGAGTCTTGCTAAGTTGCCCAGACTATCCTCAGACCTGGAATCCACCTGCCTCGGCTTCCCGTTGCTGGGATTACTGTAGGCCACCACACCCAGCACAGGACTAATTCCACGGGAAGCTCATCAGTCAGGTTCGCTAGGGGTAGAAAATTCATTGTGAAATTCGGTTCAGCTTTACTGACCCTCCCTCAGAAGCTGCTCGGTGCGTATCACTGTGAAGCAACATCTGTGTTTGTGGAAGCCTGTCCTTTGGAATGGGAGTTCCAGAGTGCTTTGGCAGAGGGGTGCATTTAGAGAGGCCCACGGGGCTGTAGGAAGGGAAGAAGTTTGGGCGCAGAAGGGAAGGCTTAACACAAGATAGGAAAGGAAAACATGTAACCACCGAAAGTGAGCCCTTTAAACACAGTTAACCATGCATTGTAGGGCCTGCTCAGTGATGGCTATGGAATTCCTGGGCCCACCAAGGAGTTTACCAGGAGAATGTGTATTGGATCATTCTTACTGTTACAACAACTAGAAATCCCACAGAGGGACAATACCGTTCCTCCTTACGTGTTGGACATCCAGATATATGGAGAGTCAAGCCCTCTGTGAGCATTCTGTCACCTAACGGAACCCTCTGTCCTCAAAACGTGTGTGTGTGTGTCCAGGGTTATATTTGAGCTTCAGTTATTTGCAAGGGTTAGTGCTACAGTTGCTGGGAGCGAGGGGCTGCAGTCTTATTGCTAACCCACAATTATTAGATTTCTCTTTATCATGTTTGTCCTAAGCCTGACGATAGGACTGTCATAGGTGAAGGTTGCAATATTTTTTAATCAGACTTTGGAACTTGGTGCAATAAATAAATAACAGCTTTTAAACTTTGCTATCTTCTGTGAATTTAAAAGAATTATTGATCTCTACAAAAGTAAATAGAGCTGAGTTTTTTTTTTTTTTAGTCTGTAAGCATGCTGAATTGTAAAATTCTTATCTGATGTTCACTAAAAGTCCGTTTAGACCATTTTAGAAATTTCTTCTGTGGCTTTTTCTTCCCTGGTATTCCCTTTCTTGCAGTTTACTGGGTAGGATTTTTAAGCTGCCTGTCCCTATATTTGTTGCCATAGTCTTAACACCATTCAAAGGTTTGCTACAGGCCCAGCTTCCTCCAAAATCTCACCTGGCTGAGCTTAGTTGATACCTGGTGATACTCCTTGATTGTCTGAAGACCAGTGTCGATGTTTGCACACCTGAGAAGGTGTGTGACAGGTACCGTTGCTGCCTGCAGCCCTGGCAAAAGAGGCTCCTAAGCCCCCAGCACGCTTGTCCTGTTAGAGCAGAAGGGGTGTTGGCAAATCCATTCCCAAGATGCCTGATGTGAGTGGTAACATCATTCAGACAGTAGAAGTTACCCGGGAGCTTAGCTTGCATGGCGACTCGACCATCCCCCTCCAGCCCCTTCAACTGAGCTGTGCTCATACTTGGACTCTTCGTGCCAGGACGCTAATAACTGTTGTTTTCTTGTTACGGGAACATTCCGAAGATAGCAAGCTGCCAAGGGCCTGCAAATTTTGGGCACCGACGATGCCGTGAGATGGCAGGAAGGTTGCTCGGGGCTGCCTGACCTTCTGCTCCTAGCAGTGTTCCTGGGTAGAGCACGTTCTTCTTTTCTGGATGCTGACTAGAGGTGACTTGGCTTTGCAAACCCCAGGAAATGAGACTTCTCTGGCTTTCAAAGAAAACAATTTTTTTGAAAAACCAAAGAACCAAAATACTACATTTTTGCATTTGAGGTATACAGTGACCTTAACGGTGCAGTCAGCTTGAAAGGAGGGTCAGGGAACGTCTCACACCGGAAATCACTGTACACTGGGCTGCTCCTGCTGCCCACTTGCTCTTCAGACTCCACACATCCTGGGCCAGTGAGGCACATCACACATGCAACCCTGGAGAGGCTTAAGGAAGATCCCCAGCTCCTCTTAGAGTAGAGGAAACCCAGACCAGGAGCAGGAAATGGACTTGCTAGGACCTCTGCTCCCAAGGCTTCCAGACAAAAGGCAGTTTGAAGGAGTACAGCCTCCAAAAGTAGATGGGCTGTCAGCACCCCTTGCTTACCCTTCCGTCTTCCCAGCAGCCACCACGGCACAAGGCTTTGCTAGTGAACCAGGCCCCAGAGTGGCAGCTCAGCCTCAGGAAGGGCTATCCCAGGTCCCTGAATGCCTGTTCTTTTTGAATCATGTGAAACGGGGAGTGGTCTGCCCACTTGCCAGGAACACAAGACAGGCAGAGGGAAATTGCATTCTTCTCTCAGGAGCATCGGCATCCACACAGGAGGGAGCTGTCAGATCAACAAAGCCCAAGGCTTTTCCTCCCCCTCCAGATTCCTTAACTCGATGCTGTGTGTACACTGTCTTACTGCCCGACTCTCCCCGCCAGCCTCGCTCCTCCAGGCCAGCTCAGCGGCTGCACATGGGCGGTAAGCAGTCAGCACCTCGAGGGGGTGGCGCACCTTTGTCTCCCCTCGCGCTTGCAAGGGGACTCAGATGTCAGGCTCGCTTCACTAGAGATGACCAAACTGCCCAGCCACTTTCCAGATGTCAGCCGCAGGAGTGATGGTCTGGTTGCGTGCTTGGGAGGAGGAACAACAGGCACCAGCTTCTGTGTCTCTTAGGAGAGTGGGTAGGCTCCAGCCTTGACCTCCGCTATGTCTGTGGCCTAAGATAAGCCAAGACGTACCCATCCCTGGAAGCAGGGTCTAGCCCTCCATGCGGGTTCTTCCCCTAGCAGGGCAGTGCATGCTATAGACTATTGGAAGGCCATTCCTCTCTCTTCTGTAGCAGCCCCCTCTGCCTCCAGGAATGTGATTTACAATCTGCTGAGGCCATAAAGCTCTGCTCTTCACTTCTGAAAAACAGCGAGTATGGGAAAGAATGTAAATTATAAATACTGAATTCCTATGGTCAGCACTAATGTAATGGCGTGGGTAGGTTATGTTTTTAAATATGGAATGCATATGGCTTTAATTTCTAAGGGGCTGTCTGCCCCCACCACCACTGCTACCATATTTGTAGGAAAAACAGATAACCAG